AAAGACAACCAACACTTACTGAATACTATTCATTTGGCAAAAGAACTCTATAGCCATCCTCTAACAGGGACCCTGTCCATCATCATCCTTTCCCACAGTCCTCTCAGGAGCCAGGAAGCCTGTACCTCCAGTGGCTCAGCCTGATTCTGGACTGCAATTGGTGTGAGACACAGCACTGGTCAGAGACAGCCAGAGAGACCAGAGATAATCCATCAGCCCACACATCCTCCAACCTATGCCCAATCCTGGTTGCCATTCATGAAGGCTTTTCCAGGTAAGACTGTAGTTCTTTCTACCCACCATACGTACCCTCGCCCCATACAAACACCTCCCCAGGCTTGCTGCAAGCTAAGTCCTTGTCTGAATGTTGCTTGCTACTAAAGGAATCACTAAGGGAGCACCAAGCAGCCCTGGATGTAAACAAGCTGGGACTGCTCTGGCACTGTTCCTAGACCCTGAGGCTACAGGTCAGACACAGAGTTTCCAAGGCAGTGCCTCAGCTGTCACCATGGCAGGGACCTGCAGAGAGGAGTGGGTTTCCCTTCCAGAGGGAGGGAAGAGCTGAGATCAAACCCAAACTCTGACACTGGGCAGTCCTTCACACTCAGGCAAAACGGGGTGTTACTGCCTTGGGGAACCTACCCCTCTCTCAAGTAGACCATCTGGCAAAACTGAAAGCTGAAGCCATTTTCTGTGCATCTGCCATCCCTCAAACCACTGAGTCCTCTGTGGCAGTAAAACACCAGTGTACCTAACAGCACGGGCAGGGTGCAGTACTTGCTTTCAGCTATGTAACCAGTGTCGTACTTGCCCATGTCCACAGGCCTATTCCAACCCCTCACTTCTTTCAGAAGCTATACTGAGGATATTACTTTACTAAGGACAAAAATCACTGACTTAACAAGCATATTATTTTTCAGGGATATACACTTTACAGTGCTTATGATGAACAGGCAGGTGACTCTCCCCCAAAAAGACAAAGTTGGTACTGCCACCAAATCAGATCTGGTAGCTACTGGGTGTGCCCTAATTTACTTCCACCCTGAGGTAGGCAGCTGTCCTTCTGTTGTCTTTATTCATTACCCTGTAAGGTCCTTCAGCCCAATCTGACTGATGAGGAAAGGGAAGTTCCCAGAAGCATGGTGACTTGCCCCGGGCTGTGAGAAGAATCTAAGCCTTTGGCTCATCCAGTTCTGTTCAATCTGCTCAGTTCTTCAGAGAAACATAGGCCAAGTTCTACACGGGGCGCTTCATCATGCACAAGATCACAACCACCCAAGTCCAAGAGGTAATGGCCACCATGACGTCACTGCTGAACGGACAGACCACCTGTCCACGGATGCAGGCGTTGTAAGTGCAGGGCTCTGTGCAAGGCATCTTACATCCATTTATTATTTTAACTCTAAATATCTGTAAGGTCAAGTGCTGGACAGCTTTAGTGTCAACTTGACACAGCTAGGTAGAGGGAGCCTTATTTGGGGAATTGCCTCTGTTGGACTGCCTGTGGCCATGTCTGTCAGGCATCTTCTTGTGAGTGAGTGGGAGGATCCAGCTCACTGTGGGGACTGCCACTCTGGGCAGGTTGTTCTGTATTGTGTAAGAAAGCAGGCTGAGCAGGGGCCAGGAGAACAAGCCAGTAAGTAGTGTTCCTCCATGGCCTGTGCTCCAGCTCCTGCCTCCAGGCTCTTGCCCTGAGTTCCTACCTTGGGCTCCCTCGGTGATGGACTGTGACCTGGGAGATGTGAGCCAAAGAAGCTCTTTCCTCCCCAAGTTGGTACTGGTCAGAGTGTTTCGTCAGTGATTGAAGGCAGACTAGAACAGCTTATATCAACATGCTCCATGTATAGAGAAGGAACATGCACCAAGAGTCCTGCAGATTACAAACTAAAGCTGCTTCCTTCGACAGATGGGAACACAGGGCCACTCCTCACAGCTGACACCGCCAGGCAGGTGGGTAACAAGACAGGAGGTTTCTAGAGAAGGCTGAGGAAAATCAGCGTTCTGTTTCGGTCTCCCTTCCTGTGACGTGCTGGCTGTGTGGAGTTTGATCAGGGCTGCTTACTTCATGAACCCCCTCAGACTGGCTGCCTGCTGTTTTCCTCTAAGGGCTTTTCCCATTATAGCCAGCATGGATCACAAGGCTCAGCCTGCATCACAGCACAGGCCTCCAGTGCACTGCCTCCATGGCTAAATGGAGCCTTCACACCAGCCTGAGGAGGAGGGAGGCTCCCTGGCTGGGCACCGTCTGTCTGTGGTGCGGAGGAAGCAGCTACAAGGCAAGAACTCCTAGAAAGCAGAAGAAGTGGCTCCTAGGAGGGGAAGAGCCTCGGGCTAGGAAGGAGGGTGCAGCTTCCAGCCCTCCATTCCTCACTATCATGAGACCTGGAGCAAGGCAGTCTAGGCCTCCTGGACGTCAAGAACATCACTAAGCAAATAACTTATCCCCTTGGGAGTATTAAGTGAATCTAAGACAGACAACAGCTCTAAAGCAGGAGAATGACCCAGCTCTTCAGGGATAGGAAGCTTCTTGGGCCCTGCAGACTGCATGCATAAAAGTTCCCTTTCTCCAAACGCATAGACATGCCACCAGAGATTTGCCCTTTTCTACCCCAGGGCAGCCACTAGCACCAACTCTTCCTGATCCCAGGCACTCTCACCTCCTGGATCCACTGCAGAATGAAAGCACCTGCAAAAGAGAGGTCTACCGTCTCTAGCAGAGCAAGAGGAGAGACGGGAGAGCAAGCCTGGCTGGATGATACTATGGCAAGAAGAACAAGAAAAAAAGGGTGAGGAAGGCACAGGGGCATCCTTCCCACACTGCCGACATTTGCCCTGTGGTCCATGAAGTTTAATGATCATCTTACTGTGCTTTCCAATGGGAAAACAAAAGGAATACTCAGGTGGATGGAAAAGCATTCAGGAGCCACATAACAAAACTTGTAAAACCCAGCTCTGTCTTCCCAGGGATGGCCCTCCCTGGTGACTGAGAAGAGCTCCAGGTGCTAACAGCTAGAGGAAGTGGTATCCTTCCTCTGGCGGGGAGCCTGGAGCTACAGCTGTAGAGCACAGCCAACGCTTTCCAGGTACACAGGACTCAGAAGAACAGGCTCGCTACCTCTCCTGCCTCCAGTTACTCTGACTTCATAGTCAGTTACATGCGCTGCTCCCAGCTTTTGGAATCATAAGAACGTTTAAAAATACCAGACTCCTTTAGAAAACTGTTGATTTGTAAACCCCCGATTTGTGCTTCCTACCTGCAGAAATACAGGCAAGTTTCAGGGAAGGAAAAGACAAGGATTGTGTTGCTCTGTTTAGCTTCCAGATGGAGCTGCCTCCCACCGGCAACCCACACACCCAAGGGCTGATGTCACAACCAGGATTTTAGTAGTACTGTGCGGGTGCTGAGAGTGAGCGCCCCTATAAAGATCAGCAACAGCAAACATAGCTGAGAAAGTCAGGGAGATCAAAAGTAAGGAACCACAGAGTACATTTAGCTCAGGAAATGTCCCCAGGAACAGTCACCAAGTTGGGGCCCTTTGGGTGGGTATTATGACACCTAGATGGAGCCAGACTTTTAGTGAGGCAGTAAACTTGATCAAACTGTGGAAGTCTGAGATGTACGGAATGACAGATTTACAAAGGGCACCTGGCAGGACCCTCAGGGGAACTTTCCATGGACATTTTGTGGGATGCTAGACTCAACACTAGTTCAGGAGAAAGGTGCTTTCTACCCAGGCTGCACTGTGGTGAGCTGATCTCTAAGGAACAAGGACAGAAAAGAACTTACTGACAGCCAAGGGAGGAGGATGAGTGGGAAGGGAAGTGGAGGGATGAGAAGAAAAGGGGAACAGGAAGAGAAGGAGGAAAAGAAAGATGAGGATGGGGGGAGGAGGAGAAAGAGGAACGGGGGAGGGATGGAAGAGGGGGAGCTGCTATTAACTAATCATGATTGCATACCAGGCACTGAGGCTTTGGGGGAAACATGCCATAGAAAATGGCTGTGGTGGTAAATATGTGTGTATGAGCCCCAGATGCAGATTCCAGCCTAAGTCTGCCTCACTTAGACCTAACAAAGATCCCTCATGGGTCACACCATGGTATGAAAAGTTACACCCTCCCTGTATCAGTCCTTCTCTTCATGTAACTGTCACTGTATGCTACTGTATGTGTCTGCAAGGGCTGCCCTAACAAAATACTCTGGTGAGGGCTATAAGGTAGTGCGATGGCTAATCTTGATGGAATCACCATGGGAACAAAACTCTGGCCACGCCTATGAAGAAGTATCTCCATTACCTAAATGTAGACAGTACGTCACCTGGACTGAATGTTTAAAAAAAGGAAACAGTGAGCTGAGTACCCGAATTCATTTCTCTTTCATGACTGTGGATACATTATGACCAGTTACCTCCAGCAACTACCTTCTTGACTTTCCCACAATGGACTGTACCCTCAAACGGGGAGCCAAAATAAAACTTCCCTTCCTTAAGGCATCTGTCATAGAGACAAGACCAGTAACTAAAGCAGATAGAAATGCATTGCTCCACCATTCTGGGGCAGGAAGATCCTGATTAGGTTTTAGCAGAGTTGATTTCTTCTGAGATTCCTGCCCCTGGCTTGCAGGGGGCAGTCTTCTCCCTGTGGCCCTGAATCATCTTCCTTCTGTACCTGTCAGTAGAGCAATCTCCTCTTCTTATTGCTATCTCCTCCCTATAAGGACACAGTGAGGCTGGATCAGAGCCCACCTTTATTTCAGTGTAAGTACCTCTGAGAAGTCTGTATCTCCACATGTAGGCACATTCTGTGCTGCTAGTCATTAGAGCCACAACACAGGACTAGAGTAGGTAGGACATGATTCAGGCCTTACTTAGCTGCATCTTCATACAACCAAGGACAATGAGACACACAGAAAGTAAACAGCTTTCAAAAGTCAAACCACAAGCATGTAGGGGGGAGCTAAGATTCAAGTCCAAACCCCTAAGTCCTTAAAAATGTTATCCTACCATTCCACAAAGCCACGATGGGCCTGTAAAGTGGCTGGTCCCAGGGCCTGCTTTGTAGACAAAGGAGCCAAGGCTCTAG